ATTTCGAAACGACTCGGAACAAACCCTTCCACGCACACTCCATATTACAGGAACCTGTAATTCCCCGAACCATAATTAACTATACGTAGCGATTTCGAAACGACTCGGAACAATCCCTTCCACGCAAACTCCATATTACAGGAACCTGTAATTCCCCGAACCATAATTAACTATACGTAGCGATTTCGAAACGACTCGGAACAATCCCTTCCACGCACACTCCATATTACAGAAACCTGTAATTCCCCGAACCATAATTAACTATACGTAGCGATTTCGAAACGACTCGGAACAATCCCTTCCACGCACACTCCATATTACAGGAACCTGTAATTCCCCGAACCATTCCTGTCGATCAATTGCAAGAATTCACCACACTCACGACAGATGGCGCCATGATGTTTGACAAGATGGCGCCGACGACGCATCCACCTTCGTGTCAACGGCGGCGCATCCATCACGTGTCAAGAATGAAAGATTGAGGTTATGGTCGGATTTTGGTGCTAGAACCCGTGTTGCTGTACTACTCATGTATACTATTACGAATGTAGAAAGTGACAAATCACACGAGTGAATGAAAGGCGCTTTCTCACAAGTGATGTAGATGTAGGTACACCATTTTTCCTACGACCAGAAACCGATTTACATAAATTTTCTCTTTCTTCTTTCCATTTTCAACACACGTGCTTAAGGTACTTTCAACACGTATTGAAAGTAAATTGCCAATTTGTGAAGGCAATCACAAATGTCATCAGTATTTTAAATTTTCCACACGTGTGCTGAAAGTACATACTATTAGCACGCGTATTGAAAGTATCGGGTCTTCAAAAAAAAAAACAATCGAAGATTGCTTTGATTACTAAAACGTACGTCGTATTACTGTTTCTTTATTGGTCAGGATTTTTGACATGACATTTTGACATTGAAGTTCATTGACAAAATTAAAGGAAAATATTGCTAAGACATGATTGTTTTTTTTTTGAAGACCCGATACTGTCGTCACATGTGTGATATTTAGCGCTTTCCAAAGAACCAACTAGTCCCGATTTCGTCATAAACGTCACATTATTGTCATGTTTCAAACATAGAATAAAACAGGCCACAATAGAGCCGCTTTCCAGCTGACGCTTTGCGTTGGATGAAACAAAAAAAATTTAACGAGTCGTGGTAAACACGAAGGAAAAAGGACCACACAAAAAGGGAGACGCGCATATCTAGTAACGTCACAAGGGTATCGGGCGTATCGGCGCTTGACAATAATAGGCATTTCTCTTTGCTTATTATCCTTTGCCTTGTGTCAATATTTCATTGGCTGTCATTCAGTGACTCTCTTTCTCCGTCTCTCTACGCTACATCTTTCTTCTCTCTCGTGTAACGAAATTTGCCAAAACGTGACGCGTCCTTCCTTCATATGATTCTCCAAATTATCAAACCACCGCCTAAAAGGGATGCAATACAAATGTGAAGAAATACTTTCGGTTTATTTTCACTATTGCTTGATGGGTTTATTTGTTTGAGTGATTCACTTTCGATAAAACTCGATGGGTATGATTTATTCGAAGATTTATTTTGAAGTGAAACTTCTTAGGCGACGGTCTGATATTTGGACTAGAATAGAATGGAGAGTGATTTGAAAGACCCATCACGTAACATCATATTTTGGGAAATTTCGTTACCCGAGAGAGAAGAAAGATATAACGTAGAGAGACAGAGAAAAACAGTCAATGACAATGACAGACGACGAACGAATAACACAAACCAAGGATTATAAGCAAGGAGGATTGCCTATTATTGTCAAGCGCCGATACCCTTATGACGTCACTACAGATGCGCGTCTTCCTTTTGTGTGGTGTTTCGATCGTCTTTACCCCGGCTCATACGCTAAGTCTAAGAGTTGTACGAGCGGAGATAGTTTTTAGGTTTCAATTCTACCACGTGTAGGGCGCTGCACATAATTTTTTTTTGCATCAGGATCGGCGGCGGCAACCTTTTTCAATCGGCCGCCCCTTTCAATCGGCCGCCTGTGTGTTTTAAACACACCGACACCGCACACATGGTAGCGGCGGCCCTGATTTCATGTACCATCGTCACCAAAAGTATCTGGGACACAAATAATGCATAATAATCTCCTGGACTAATTCTATTGTCATTCATTTCAATGCATTGCAAAAAAGGATATGGCTTGATTCTTGAAATCGAGAGAACAACCACTCTGTAAAAATGTGTGTGACGCGTGATTTATAGTAAAATACTACTCTCTGTGTCTCAAGGCCTGACATGGTCTATACTATTAATTACGATTCATGTAATTAACGCCTAATTGTTGCAAGTCACCTCGGACGAGCAAAATTCTCTCGTAAGCGTCTGTTTTTGTCTCTCTCTCTCTCACTCTGGCCAGGCTCCAACGCGCCTGCATGTGCATATCGTTATATTTTCATCTCAGCGGAAAATTCCCTAGCTGCCAGTGTGAATAGTGATAAATGGATAAATAATCGCCTTGTGGATTGATATGCATGAACCGGATTAAGGAAGTAAGGCCGTTACAATTTCTCTAACACATATTGTTTATAAACCTCCGCAGAAAAGTGCTCAAATTGTTAACTCCCAAATAAATCAAAGAACTTTCAAGGATCAATAAACATTTTATGATTACACTGAACTGATTGAAGTTGACGAATTATTTATGTCATGCTCTCGTGCATTTAATTAGTTAATTTGTGTTTTCGTTTATTTACCATTTAACCATAAATGATCTATTTCAGCGTTTTATTTGTATAAATGAGAATCAAGGCACCCCTAACCCAATACAAGGCGCAAATGATCCAATACGTAGTGGTTAATATTTACAGTCAGTCAAAGTAAAAACCGCATCCCTGGTGCGGTTTGACTATAAAGCCCAAAAAAGGGCAATAGCTAGTTCCATCACAAAGTATTTCGTGGTGTTTCAAGGATATTTATGGTATTTCGAGGTAATTTGAAGTATTTCGCGGCAGCCCGAGGTATTTCGAGCTATTTTAATGTACCAAGAACAGTTAATTCTTGCGATTCCATTTTTGTATTTTATTTCACTTTACTTAGATTACCTACCGTATTTTACACATAGGAAAAGCCTATACGACAGAGCCAAAACCATATGCATTAATCACAATATGTAGTCACTAAAGAAAAGCAAAACATTGAAAATATAGGTACTAAAACAAAACGAGCAAGTGAAGAATACATCATACGCATTATTTTCAAGACACAAAATACAATAAGATCACGTATTACAAAAACAAACTGTTCGTATTGGGAACGTAATTTATAAACTTCCGCTTGAAAAAAATTTGTACCATCCAACACATCTTTATTCTACCTGTAAAGTAAAGTCTGCAGGTGGGGTGTCAATATATGCGGAAACACCCTGAACGCATACATTATCCTATCCACCTAAAAAAAGTTTAATAAAACCGATAGAGAAAGTGAAGCTTTCATGTGGTAAGTCCTCAACGATATGACTAAGAAGAAAATGCCCAAGACTTTATAAACCATAAACACACTGATAATAATAACCCAAAGAAGAGAAGGGGCAAATTTAATTAATATTTTTTCCTCTACTTGCTCACATTTGGATTTTACATTTGCTACTATTTCAATATTGTCAATGTAGGTAGATATTAATTAATGATGTTTCATGTACCACTATGAGACAAAACAAATATTGGCTAAAATCCTATAACGATAACGTATTTATAGATGGGCTGATATCAGGAAACAGGCAAACTTTACCGACTAAATATATGGCAGTAGTAGGCAAGTGGGTAATTTTCTGATAGGATCTTCAATAACACGTTAATTAATGCTCTTCAATTTAATGTGTTTATCCAGTGTGTTCGTGTGTAACGAAATTACGCCATTACCTTCCACACACAACACAGCAGAAAGAGAATCAGTCGAAATATTTATTAAATAAAACAATAAGTAATTGGCGTGGGTGCACCTTTATACCACACACACAACAGAAATCCAAAGCACCCAGCCAGAAGTACAATTAAATGTAATGGGGCCCCACCCATTCAACCTTGCTCTAATTTGCCCAGACTTGTCGCCTCGCCCAAGTGGAAGCTTATTGTATTGACGCACTTAATGGTATTTGCACTGTGTTCGGATATTTCTAAATATGCACCCAAGAATAATATATGGATAAAAATATAAGTATTCGTAATTTGGACTTTGGACAAGTAATAAGAGACTCACTCTTCTTGTTTTGAGCAAACCTTCTTTCTTGGTACCTATGTTGGAAGTTCTGGTTCATAGGAAACATTATCATCAAATGCGCACCATTAGTGTTATAGGATGGAAATTTGAAATAACTGCCCTAATGAAAAAAATATAGTTCTTGTTAGAGAAAAACTGCCGCAACAACTTAGAATAGACACAACTGTCGGTGCGATTATTATAGATATTTTAAAGATTTCATGAAATATGCTAAACCATAAATAGTCAAATGTAATAGGTCTGGAGTTAGGAGTAAAACTACTTATTTCTACATTTCGATTTAAACAAATTCCTTCATTAAAATGGAACGCATTTTAAACTCACACACTCATCAAGTTCTTAATTACTTTATACCTTATGCAAATATACGTAAAGGTATGCGATACCAACTAAACACGTGGTGGCTGATTGTTCTTTGGCGTGCCGCTAATTGGAGCTCAAATTGGGGTGTTGATATTTTCGCAGAGTCATTCTTGGAACACTTAAATATATGCGCTCCAGCTTAAAACACGAAAGACCATACTAGCCTAGTAAAAATAAGGTTTTGATTACCGCATACCTTTATAAGACATTAGAGGGGCACATGCAAACAGATTTCTTATCGTTTGAGAGAAAAGCAAAGGGGTGAAATTTCGACGGTGTGTCACGAAACTTTTCGAAGGGTGAAATTTTTCTTTGTTCGTTGCTCAGACGGTGATTTAAAGTACCTACTGGGAAAAGTCCGTTGGCCGTAAATTGGGGGGGTTTGTTAAAAATCAACTTTAGCACGCAAGAGAGAAGTTTTATTTTTCTTATAAAACCTGTGATTATGCATGTAAGAGTATTCTAAAAAAGAATGCTAATTTGTTAAAAATAAATCGCTTTATTTTTGCCTAGGCAACACAGACCTTTTGGAAATATTTAACATAAATTATGAATATCCTCCTACAAGAATCAAATTACCAACAAATTCAAAACCGAACTCATTATTCCAAGCGTCTGCCCACAAATGTGAATGGGGTTTAATTTCTTTTATATAGTGCTGTGGTAAAATGAATACACAATTTTTTATAATCATTTTTATATTTTTGGGTAATTTTTAGTTTTTTTTTTAAATGTGTTTGTTTAATATCTAATCGAATTTCAGCCCGCCACTCTCACTCTTACACAAAAGTTTGGGTTTTTAACTCAAACATATCAGATCCACAAAACTGGGTGAACCATGGACCACATCAAACTTGTCCAGGGCTCACGTTTGCTCCAGAAAATCAGGCCACAATTCCAATTGAACAAATAAAAGTAAAAAAAATAATATTGCCTAAATTTGGAAGTTTTCAGTTTGATGCAAATTCAAAAATTACATTCGATGAAAATGGCAAAGACGATGTTTTAAATTGTAAGTACAATATTATGATATATAGCTGCTTGTTGATAATGTATGATTGAGTTAATAATTATTTATTATAATTATCGGTTTATAACATTCTACGTCTTCCGATTCCCGATCTCCAACCATCTCTGTCAATCCAGGCATCCTCTTCTAAGCCTCTGTCTCTCATTTCTTCGTCTACTCCACTTCTTCAGCTCCTTCTCGGTCTGCCGCGTCTTCTTCTTCCCCCTGGCTTCCACTCAATAATTTGCTTGGGTATCCTTGTATCTGCCATTCTTTGTACATGTCCGAACCAAATTAGCTGTTTGTCCTTTATATCATCTACTATTGTGTGTTTTACGTCCATAATCTCCCTTATTCTCAGATTTGTTATCCTTTCCATCTTTGACCTGCCTGCGGATCTCCTCCAAAAGTCCATTTCAGTTGTTTCCAGCATTTTTGCGGTTCTGTTCTTTAGTGGCCAGACTTCTGAGCTATATGTGACTATGCTTTTGACTATGGTGTTGTATATTCTAGTTTTGTTAGTTTTGTTGATATTTTGGTCCCACAGTACACCATTTAGTAGGGATATTGCCTTGCGTCCCTGTATATTCCGGTCTTTAATTGCTTCGTCTAGGGTTCCCTGACGTGAGATTTTCATGCCCAAGTGTACTCTAGGTCATCATAGTCCTGTGCAATTACTACTTGAACATCTGCAAAGCTTAAAGTATATAAAGTGTATTCATTGAGCGGTATTCCCATGTGTCTGCATTTGTTTTTCCACCCCTTAAGCGCTTGCTCTAAGTATATTTTAAAAAGCTTTGGTGATATGCAACATCCCTGTTTAAGTCCTTTAGTTGCTATAAAGCCTTTACTGATCATGTTTCCCTGTTTAATCTTGGTCTTTGCATCACTATAGTTTTTACTGCCTTTGTTAGTTCTAATTGATATTGGTTTTTTCCAGTGCTTCCCAAAGCTTCTCCAGCGGAACATTGTCATATGCTTTCTTTAGATCTACAAAGAGTAAATGGAGTTCTTGGTTATACGCTATTTTCTTTTCTATTACCTGGGTCAGACTAAATAAATGGTCTACAGTTGATCTTCCTGCTCTAAAACCGGCCTTTTCTTCTGCCTCACTATCTTTGCACTCGTTCTCTATTCTGGCTTTTATGAGTTTTCCATACACTCTGCTCAGTGTGTTTGTTACTGCAATTCCTCGGTGGTTCTCGCATTTGTTTCTATCTCCTTTTTTATATATCGTTGTTAAATAGCTTATTTTCCACTCTTCCGGTACTTCATGTTTATCTATGCATGTTTGAAATAGTTTTGTTAAGAGTTTGTAGAGTTTATTGGTCCCATACTTTATCAGTTCTCCATATATTTCTCCTGGGCCTGGTGCCCTACCGTTTTTCAAGAAGCTACAGTGTTTTTTAACTTTTTCTTGCATAACTCTTATAGGTGATCCTGCAGTTTTTATGTTTCGTGTCTGTTCCCTTTCTTCTTTAAACTCTGCTCGCTGTTCTGTCAGTAATTCTTCAAAGTACTCTTCCCATTTCTGGGGTGTTATTGTATTGATAATATCCTTAGTTTGTGTTTTCCTCATGTTTTTGAGTAATCTCCAACTTTCTGTGTTTCTTTTACCACCCAGATAAGTATTAATATGCGCACAGTTTCTTTCCCATGACGCGTTTTTTTTTCTGTATTATTTTATTCCGTACTCTTGCTTGTGCTTCTTTATATATTTCTTTGTCCCGTGTCTTTTTTGAAACTAGATACTGTTGGTATTTCTTCATTTTATCTGCTATGTCTTTCTCTATTTCTTGATCCCACCAATAGGGTGAGGGCCTTCTTCCGTTTTTTTCGTATTTGCCTAGGGCTTCAAATGCTGCACTGTGAATACTCTCTTTGATATGTTGGTAATGCATTTCTAGGTTTTGGAAGCTTATACTACTCTGTAATTTTGGATCCAATCTCTTCATGTACAACCCCTTTACGCTTTGGTCTTCTAGAGATTTTAGGTTGTATCTCTCAGGCACAATTTTGTCTTCTTGTTTTTCCATTCCATTTTGTTTTGCGGTGTTTCTGCCCGGGATAAAGATTTTTGTTTTCAGGAGGTAGTGATCGCTTTCACAGGTCGCTCCCCTATATGCTCTCACATCCTGGAATTTTATGTTCGACCTCTGTTTTGCGATAGTGTAGTCAATGATCGATTTTTGTTGTCTGGTTTCATTTTTTCATGTGTACTTATATATTTCTTTATGCTGGAAGTAACCGTTTAGGATTTTCAGGTCATTCTGTTGGCATATTGCTATGAGCCTTTCTCCATTATTATTTGTTACATTCTCTCCAAATTTTCCGACCACCTTGTCGTTGATTTTCATTCCTCTTCTTCCGTTAATGTCTCCCAGCAATATTATTTCCCTTGAAGTTCCTACTTTTATGATTTGGTCACTCAATTGTTGATAAAATAAATCCTTTATATTAACGGGTTCGTCGTCGTTCACACCGTATATTCCCAAGATAGTTATTTTCCTTCCGAACATACATATATTTAGTTTTATTATTGTTTCGTTCACTGCTTCCCATGATGTTATATGTTTTCTCCATTTTAGTATAATATAATATATAATAATAATTATTTTAGGTGTTAAATTAAAACCAATAAATGAAGTATCATGGTTGGATTATAGGGCTTGGAATAATACAAATGACCCAGATAATCCTGCTATACCCTATGACGAAAGGATACCTTCAAAGTAAATTTTTAGTAGAACAATATCGTGTTTTTTATTCAGTTTTCTATATTATTACAGATTCGATGACGTAGAGTTTCCCAAGTATTCTCTTCATGAGGTTCCACATGTTATTGTCGGAAAAGTGAAAAGCGTTAAGTTTGGTCAAGGCAAAAATAAACAAGAAATTTGGCGTAAGTAAATTTGTCAATATTTCTCTACAACAAAGAAACAGCATAGTAGTTAAAAAAAATAAAACTGTACCCAGCTGTAGGTATTATCCGAGGTATTATCCGTCGTTTTAAATCTGACACTTTCCGTATGAGGAGCGAGGGGGTGAAGCTTATGGCAAAAACAAGTGTGACGTCAGGTGACCACTGGCGTTTTGATATAGGGAGTTACCAGCTCACATTTTCCGGAGTATCAGATTAAAATCGACAAGACTTTACTTTGAGAGCTTATATTGCTTTTTATTGTAATATGCTTGGGTTAGCCAAGGTCTAATTTACTAAACTTTCTGTATTAACTCTGTCAACAGGTCCTGATCTTACTAGGCAAGGAGAATGCGAAGATCACACAGGATGTTTTAGGGGCTCAGAAGGGATACAATATGATAAAATTTGCGAAATAATTGATACCATCAACGCTACAGTAGACTGTGCAAATCCTATCAGACCAAAAGGATTTTGTAATAAACCGAGATGCGGTAATTAATATAGTCAATCTTCATAACATTTAAATTAAAACAAGTATTATTTTCAGGTGGCACGGTACTAATTGAAACACTAAAACCAGGATTTCGTTTAGACAAAATAAACGAAAAATTGAAAGAATATTCCAGTTACTCGTATGCCGGTAAAATTTCTTCTAGTTCATCGACAATTCAAGTTTTTTTTACAGAAAAGAGTTTTACTGGTCAAAGTATTGTTGATGCGACTGAGTTTTATAATTCACTCCGAAAAGGTAAGAATCAGTGTCCGTTTGTGACATTTTACCCTAAGTAATTTAACGTGTACATTCGACTCAATGAACTGATTTGAATGCATGAACTACCTATCTAAATAATTTTTGAAGTTGGTCGAGACATTGAAAGTTGAAGGAATGGTTTTCTTGAGACATTTTTGGCCTTGTTTGAAGTGTACCTACTTCTACTAGCCATGAAAGAAAATATTCTCTCAGATTGAATGATAATATCAATTTGTCTTTTTTTCCAAAATCATTAGGAGAGGGTAGTCCACAGTGAGACAAAAATATCTTTTAATTTTTTAAATTAATTGTGTGAACAAAAAAACCAAACAGTATACTAATTTTAAAAAATGTCAAAAATGTCTCACTGTGTACCATCAGTTGTGCACAATGAGACACCGGTTTTTTTTCATGTTACACTTTACTTAAAACATATTAATTTGTGTACATTGACTTAGCGAACATTCAAATTTTCAAAAGAAGTTGGAAAGCATATATATCTGCTCAAACGTTTAGTTTTCATTGCACTTCGTTGCGGTAAAAGCATAACGTTATCGGACTGGTTCACAGAAGCTAAATCGGGTATTTCTGGAAATATAAATACATGATTTTTAGGCCCTTGCTAAGGTAGGATACTTCATAATCCATTGCTGCGCCCTTCCCTTTTATTATCTTTGCCACGAAGAAGACATCGTTCGGGAACCGAACCAGAACATAGTCGTCAACGATAGGTTTCCGTTCTAACTCTTGAAACTCTGTAAACGATTCTTCCTCATCTAATCTGATGACTGATGATCATCATAAATTATTTGAAAGTATAATTTCTGTAGAAAATTAAATTCATAGAGATATTACCATTGTTTACCTGAGAATCATCTTCGTCGTCTGATGTATTGTCACTATCTTGAGTCCTTGAATTTTTCGTAGTTTTGTTAAATAAATCCTTGGTAACAGGTTTTATTTCTTTGCTTTTTTGCATTTTCAACTGGTTTTCCAATTTCTTCTCTGTTTTTGCAGCAATTACGTCCTTTTCTGGCGTATCCGGCAACACTGTGCTTCTTCCACGTTGATATCCAGATGATTTCTTCTTTCGTGGTAAAACTTTAGGAAATCGACGAAATATTTTCAGGGAAATAAATTCTGTTTCCTTTTCTTGATTGCGGTTGTTTACAACTACTTCAGGTTCTTCATTTTCTTTTTATTCAGGTTCAACAGATCTTTCTTCAACAGAAGTAGAGGCCTCAAGATGTTCTAGAGGTCTATCAGTTACTGAGGAAGTGAAAAAATCAGCATCTTTAAATACATCCCGGTCAAGCGAGAATATTCCGGACCTCTTGGAGCCCGAAATTATATTTGAAGGTGTCACGGCCTTTGGTAGAGCTCTTCCAGTCATTTCAGCAAGTTGGTAATGGTAATACCAGGATGAATTAGCTAGGCCAAGTGTTCCAGTTGGTGCCCCATTAATCATATGCTGTTTGAAATTTTTCCTAGGGAAAATCATTACTGGAGGTACAAATGTTCCTGCACCTGAAATACCCACCAAGAGAGTTACAAGTTCTCCCCTCTCGCCACTAGTGCTCTGGCTTAGTTGCTTTACTCCCTTGTGTGCAATGACCTTTTTGGGTTTTCGTCCAAGTTGAAAACTCGTTATCCATCGGCTAACTGTGGAAATCGTTTCAACATGGACTCCAGGTTATGTTAGTGTAGATAGACTGCAAGCTTCAGGTTTTCTAATACATAGTTTCTGGTTGCGATATAAGAAACCTCTCATCCATTCTTTACCAGCAGTTTTTTTTTTCTCACGATTTTGGAATTTTTATGTTGTCCTCTTTTGCCATATCATAAGCTAATTTTCTTAAAGCTACAGTTAATAATCCATACGCCATTTTACTACATATTTGTAAATACTCGCCAAGATCAGCTTCCTGTTCTCTGCTAAATATTTGCCTAACTTCATAATGCGGCTGCGTTCTTATTTCAGTATCTGGATGTAATTGGGCCTTTTTCACATATCGATGCAACGTCTGTAGTGGAATTCCACTAGTTATTGCAGCCTCTCTTATAGATAAGTTCCGTTCTGTAACTAGCTTGATAGCTGCAGCCATATCTTCTCCGGACATTTTCCCTATTCTTCTAGGCTTTTCTTTAGGTCTCACCATTTTAAAGTTTGTGTCTTCGTTTCCTTACTAAAACAAAATGCCATTATATACCATGAGCAGTACACAGTGAGACACCGTATCAGTGTGTACTACCTGATGCCGTCCCATTGTGTAAAAAAGCACCAACAAAATAAAATTAGTGTAGTTTCTTAACCAAATATTTTAATAAATCGCTACAAACACAAATATATTGCTAAAAAGTGTGCGTTCAAATATACTTACTTGCAAATTGAAGAGAGTGCATAATTGAGGAATTTTAACTGTGTATATTTCAGGTAAAAGTCACTTAGAGGTTCTTAGAACCACGTTGATCACATACATAGAGAAACAGACTAAAAAGAGAGTAGCGAATTAAACGAGAGAGATCGGCACCAGTGTATCCCTGTAGCGCCTCCGTGAGCTACAGGATGAACTAAACTTGTGGGACGCATGGCGGGAAATTTAAATTGGTACTGAAGATTATTTGGTTTTAATGGAAATTTTTAGGGAAAAAAAAACAATACCTAATTCTTTATCAAGCTAGTTTTATTGAGAAAATTATTAGCGGCATTTTTCAAGCAATAATGAAATAAATAATAACTCTTAAAATATAATTAATATACACAAACTCTGAATTCTTCAAGTAGTAATGAAATAAAACAATAACTCTTATAATACGAATAATATCAACAATAGTAATGAAATTAATAATAAATACCTCTTCAAATACAAAAAATATGTGATAGAAAACGAAATCATTGAACTATCCTCAGTCTAAAAATAATAAAAATAAAACAAGTAATAAGTATAATGTAATTATTTATGCAATATAAAAAAATACAACACTGACCTGACACACAATTATGAGAGCTCTCAGAACTTCGGAAGCCCTTTGTTTACATTTCTTATATTACAATTGTTGACTTGATAATTAATGGAAAAATAGAAAATTATTTTTTAAAATATTTTTCCTAGAAGTGAACTGAGGTTATGTTTATCTACGTAAACATCAGCATGCCTCAGTTAATATGGAAATATCTACCGTTCTGTTTCTTTCTTCTTCTTCTGTAGTGCTTCAATGTTGCTAGAATGAGACGGAAACGAGCACGTAGGTCGAATCCCGACGCGATAAATAAAGGGACAACTTTGCGACGTCTGCGTTGCGCTACAGGCATAAAGGAATGCGGTGCCGATCTCTCTCGTTTAATTCGCTACTCTCTTTTTAGTCTGTTTCTCTATGATCACATACTATCAACAAACAACTACGCCGTAGGCGGCAATATGGCTGGTGAAGTTTGTGATCCATCTTAAATTTATTATAGGGTTGCCAAATCTCAAATATGTTCTAAGGTCTTAGAGAAAATGTAATGTCCCACTGTGAAAGCCGTCCCAGTGTGGACTACCCTCCCCTATATCACAGTTTACTGAACCACGCTGTAAATGGAGGTAGGCTTAAAAAAAATAAAAAGCTCAATCAGATCTGAGAATAAGTATAATCTTTACACGAGTTTTTTCCAACTAATTTCTTTCGCAAAAGTCCTGGAAAACGTAATAAAAAACCTCATTCTCGATAAATCAAAGAATCAACAGGTCGCCTAGTGTCGGAATGCGAAGAGGTTTATTGCTCTACTTTAAATTCTCTTGGTGTGGCGTTTACTTAATCGACCAGCCTATAAAATGGCTGAAAATACTAGCCAGATTGTACGATAACGCAAAATGAACGATTTTAGAATTTCCCGAGTTTTATAAACTGACTAGCCATTTGATTTCTTTCGGCGGTTTTGGATGAGTACCATGACTCACGATAAACCTTTACATACTTAGGTACCTACCTACTTCTGAAATCTGGAATGGAATAAAAGTAATTTAGATTTCCAGGTGTAATTTCCATGATAGCTAAAAGCTTTCATCAAAAACAAGCAACAAGTGCAGACCTGCTTGTTTCATCAGGTTCCAGAAACCTGCACCCAAGGTATTATAGTCTGCGACTGACGAGGGCGCCAAGGTCACATTCGCAGACTATGCTTGACATTTTCATCTATCTTATGGTTTATTCCTTTATAAAAATAGACAGAATACAGTAAATTCAGTAGGATATAAAATTATCTATGTATCACGGGAATTATCAGGTGTTAATTCCCACGGGCAATTGGTGCCCTGGGGTATTAACACCCTCATAATTCCCTTGATATACATAAATAACTATTATTTTCAGATAGTTCCTGTTTTTGTGACAATCTAAAACTCGAAACTTCAGGTGGACCACTGTACGAACAATCAGAATTAACCAAAAACGCTTTATCTGTTACTTTTGGAACGTTAATTGGTGCAATCGTGATATTAGGCCTTTTGTTTATTGTATATTCTCCAACTGTAACTAATTTAAATCTTGGAAACAGGTAGAATAATATCATAAACATAAAATAATAAGTACTTATTTGTTAGTTTTTTCAATGCAGATTTTTGGGAAGCAGGCCTCTATCTACTTATATGATGCACTACGACACCATGGAAGACCGAAGCTGTATAGTTGACGGACAGTCAGTAGCAGGATCGGTGCTAGAGTTGAATAGAGCGTTTGAAAATCCTCTGTACGAACATGCGCATTCTTCTAGGAGTACTAGCCATGAAAGTATAGAGTCTGTCAGATTGGGTCATAATACTGATTTCGATGTGGTTGAAGTTAAAGAAGAATCGATAATGAAGGAAGTTGAAGAAATTGAGGAAGAAGAATTATTAAAAGATTTGTAACAAATAAAGTTAAAATGTGATTGGGAATCCTTATCAAGAGGTGCCTTTTGTTATGTGCATTATTGAAAAAGTTTGTGTGCGAAAATTTTATTTAGCTCATTATTCTAATGGCCTTCAAAGCTTTGCTTATATTATATTTGTAGCTTAAAATTTAATATAGACTACTTCAGCTTGCTGAAAACATTTCGTATTGATCCCCTCCTATTTTCACACATTTTATGTCAAGCAGCTGATACGACCAGATCCTAAAACGCCTCTCTTATACCAGAGATATGCTATAACTACACTTTTAGAAACTTATCTTTCAGGAAATGTCGTCGTCGTCTATGCTTAGAGCAATATATCAAAAAGCTCGATAGCAGGGTATCAAGTTTTTTGACGTTTTTGCACCCAATGAGTTACCTACCTAATGTTTCCAATTACAAAATATATGTGGTTATAGGTAGAGAAAATGAAATTGAAATTTGTTTTTTTGTCAAGTTGTTGAAAACAAAACACTCACAATTGGAACTTTACGTGTCAATAAGAAGGCAAACCTGAAATTAGTGACCAAGCACCCAAAACGTTGGGGTGTTTTTGTTACCAAATTAAAGAATGTTGAAGACGTGCTATTATAATCATCAAATATCATCAGCATATTGTTGAGATCAGGAATCGTTTTGGCCAGGTGTCGATATGCTCAGCTGACTTTATATTTTCTTGTTGAAGCAAAAATATAAGGCGATAAAAAACAATAACTTCTCAATTTCTGTATCTAGAAATCATTCATTTTCAGAAAAGGACGAATCTAATTTTTCAAAACATAGGCCTTTATATATATAGAAATTAAAAAAGAATCAGAATAACTATTATAGTTTTACTTATGTTAGGTATACTTTTACTTCTAGGAACTTGGTTGAAAATGAAAATTAGTCAATACACTCTCTAAAGCTACATATATGATTAAAAATTAACAGGAACACGATAAAATCAACATGTTCCATACGCATACGTTGATCAAGCTTTTGCAGGACATTACCTAAATGACATAACACAAAGTAAACAAAATAATGGGATCAATGGGAAAGCAAATAATAAAAATTAAACACTTCTATAAGCATTCAATTAGGAGCCTGTAATAAAAATAAGCGAATAAAATAATTTTTAGATTGTTATTGTATTACGGACGTTATATCACGGATTCAATCTTAAGTAATCCGACGTTTTCAATGTAATAATAGCATAATACTAAAGAATTTTTTATTGCGGGTTGTATTTTAACGAGGCTTCGTTATTGTGCCAATAAATAGCAATTAGCATTAGATACATACTTATAGTTAATAAAGGAAATGCATCTTGAGAAATTTTTATATGGATTAGGATATGTTATAAAAAACGTATGCCTAGTTGACATTTTTGTATTCTTGTGAGCCACTTTAATGTTTGCATAGCTTCAGCTTATTAATAAACTTTTTCTGTTTCTGGCAAATCTGGGTTACTTATTTCTCACATAACACCAATTTTCGATATACTTTTTATTTTAAGCATAAAGTAAAAAGTAATATCTACAAGATAATACTGTTTGACTCTTCAAATGAAATATTATGGAGAGTACTGGGTGAGTGGTTCAATACGGACCTAAACATCGTGTCTTAAAGTCAAAAACTCAACAACATTTTCAAAAATAAATTTCTGGAAACTTTAAAAAATCATATCTTCGTCTGGATCATAGAGAGGAATCTGAAATTTACAGAGAATTTCATTCAAGCAAAGGACTATAAACCCCTGAGAGGTTTAGCTGATTTGGAGTTATAATTCCAGAGAGATACAATCCCGCTCAGGAAAGAGGAGGATATTTTATCATTTTCCAATTTTTCTGCTGCTCTATTCCTGCTCAAATCCTACAATGATTCACAGTATGGAGTCTAGGCAATCTCAAATCATCATTAAAAATCAAAATCTCAACATGGAAAAATGTGAAATTTAAATTTCAATAACAAGAAAAATTTCTAAAAATTATGAGAAATCATTTTTCCAGTTATAATTCGCTGTTCTTTTTCCTAACATTTCGGCTTCAAATCTCACAATGATTCACAGTAGGTATAGAGTTTAAGCGATCAATGATCATTCAAAATCAAAACCTCATTATGGAAAATTTTGAAAAGTCAACCTTTTTTTGTTGCTTAGGGCAGGTATTATAATGTCCGGTTGACTAGTTGAGTTTCAACCTAAGGTTTACTGTACCTAAAGGTTGAAAATCAACCTTCGGTCAACCGGACATTATAATACCGACCCTTAGTCTGCGTGTAGTTTGGGATGTAGGATGTAGCCTATTGATACTGATAAATTTTTATTTTCATTTATTCAGTTTTTAAGCATCCTTTGTCAATAAGATATATTACTTGTAATGTTTCTTGGAGAATAAAGTACTTTTCATCATCATCATCTCGTCTTTATTTATCAATAAAAAAATCATTAAACTATTTAATTGGTAGTATAGGTATGGTATAACTAAGCTTTAATTGAAACATTAACATCAGTCATATATCTAAAGATTATTTATGGTAGGTAATACAAGAAAGGTTATGATGATGATATTTTACTGACTGATAGGTTTATTGGTTAAATATTTCCGTTGTATAAACTTCCTATTGATTTATTCAAACAGGTCAAATATTAAAATATTATTACGTGACTAATAATGCAAAAAGCTCTAATCTCAAAATGCAAACAATCTCATCTGATATAAATTCCACGGTTTCTCTACAAATTTATTAAGTAAAAATCCTAATTACTCTGTTACGAGATATCGAGGAACCAAAACCATCTCATCAGTTGGCTTCTCTGAAGATGATCTGATTAAAATTGAATTATAGCCTTTCACTTTCGTCTTAAACACATTGATTGGCTGCTTCACATACACGCTTTCATTAATCACTATGCAATTATTATTTTTTCCAGATTCTGTTGAAAAAGTCGAATCGATACAGTAGTGAGACATTTTCCACTCAATTATTCACAATTTTAATGATATACCTACCCATGGGAACGTGAGGTAGGTAGGTACCTACTCAAAAATTTATAATCGCGGGGTAGGAAGGTATACTTATTTGACTTTATGTCTATTTAATTTTTTTTGAGTTAGGTTCATATTTTTATTGGTTTATTTCCCTAACCAATGAAAACTAGTTGAATTCAAGGATTTGAATATACCTAGAATAAATAATAATTTCTTAACTTTCTTTCTGGAGTCTATACGTTAGGTACTTACTTCTAAGTTCAGACTATAATGAGTGTATGGGTATAGGTATATCTACCTCTGATTTCCCCAAAAACATCAATGATCTCGATTTCACTTAATTATTTAATTCTAAAACTTCATAATCCTATATGCTCATATAGACATAAGACATAATTTTTCTATTATCTGTCATATAAACGATTTCAATAATTCAATAGAGTGACTATAAATACCTATAGGAAGGTAATTGAATTTCAAAGTTTATACTTACATAATTATATATTTTTTTGCCATTGAAATTATGTGTTTTTTATGATCTACATTATTTAAAATTAAAATGACAATTTTCTGGAATTGAATGCATGGGTTTATAAAGGTGAATCCAGCAAACAAAGCAATAACCAATTACGTGCACTATCCAATATCAACAAGGCTCATGCCCAACTGAGCCCTTTTCCCTAATGCGATGATATATTGATCAAATAACGTGCAACACGCCACTGGCATTAGGTTACGTCTTTTTTTTAGAGCGTGTGGCATACATAATTACTACAAAGGGTATGTTTTTAAAAACATATGCCTCATATAATATTGATTAGGCCAGGTGGAAACTTAAGAAGACAGGTGCAGGCTGAAGGGATGACACATATTTAGGGGCATTTTAGTTTGTTTCAACAAAAACAAAAGTAGGTAAATTCCCCTTACACACCATAAAGATCCTATAGGATAGGTACATGCATAAAATGTAAACTAATCGGATATGCACGATGAAAGTTAATTAAAATTCGAAACGCTATTCACAGACGCATAACAACTTCCTTCCTATAGACACGCGTCGCTCTATGGTTTTACCAATCCAACCTTGGCCTGAGAGTAGTGCACTGAATATAATTTACCAACTAATGATGTTTACAAATAAGAAATATTACATTATTTATAAATATGTGTAGGGACTTCAAGAAATTTTATTTGATTTTATAATTTATGAAGCCAATTATTTATACTGATACTTAGGAAAAAGCTTCTTTGGATAACTTCAATTATAGATACACTTGGAATAAAGCTAAGGAATAAAGCTCCCACGATGAATAAATTTGTTGTTCCATAAACTGGCATGAAGTATTTTCAATTGTTGGTAATTTTGAATGTCAAACATATTATTAAAAAATATTGTTCTACAAAAACCTAATAGTTTATATCAAAATGCTATCAAACTGATACTTCGAGTCGAGTAATAGTACTCGATAATTTCCGATCAATTTTTCAATTCGATCAACATTTATTGCTCCCAGCTGTATCATGGATGGTCCAAACTTAGCATGTGTTCTTGGTCTATTATACCAGCTCCTAACTGTGATCGGTCTTTTCGGTGGAAACCCGATTAGAGTCGTGCCCGATCAATGTTCTCAATCGACCAGTCGCCACGGTCGCTAGTCGGGCACTGACCCTGCTTGCAAGATTATTGTCGTTGGTTTGCCTCGCTCGAACATCGTTAAAATCGAAGGTCTCAGCGTGCGTAATAAATTTACCCGCAATAAGTTTGGTTGATTGTTTTTCGAAAATGGTTGAAGGCGATTTGAAAGTGAACATTGACTTGTGTCTCGAAGTCGAGAAACATCCTTGCTTATACGACATCACTCGAGAAGATCATGCGAAACGGACAATTGCAGATAAAGCCTGGACGGAAGTTAGTGGAAAAGTCGGATTACCAGGTAAATAACAAAAAGTTCTTTTATTATAGGTACTTAATTGTTTAAAAGCATTGTGATGAACACAAAACTGAAGTTTCACTAGGGCAAAGTTTACGTTAGGGCCATTAAATAATAATAATCGTAAACCATAGCAAAGACAATACTACAACGAAGTAGGATTATCTTTGACCATAGGCATGAGGCAAACCATATGTACCTGCCATCAAAATTTTTTAAATTGCTCTATTGTAAATGGGATCACAGGTAGGTGAGGTAGGTGGGCAAAAATTACACAGCTTTACAAAATTTTGCAAGCCACTAGGTATGACGAAATTTTACCCCACCTATCAAAAACTAGACTATGATGACAGAGAAGCAGAATAGAAAATCTTTTCTTATTGATAGGTCAGACATTATATGCTGGAGATAAAATTTCAGCACCACCCGAGAATATCGCGGCAAAGGAAAATATTTCTTATTTGGATTAAACTTAGCTGGATGAACGAACATCCCGACTTGAAAATGGATTTTTGGATGAATGCTTATGACAATTTCAATCATATTCAACTAAAGACTACTACGAAAAAATTACTGCTGACGATTTCGAAGAATATTTTAAGCAAATGATCGAATATATTCCCAGTAATTCTGGAATAGTGATGGGTAACGCTAGCTATACCATATTAGTTCAGAAGAGAAGCCCCACAAGTTAATGGAAAAAATAAAAAAAATTTTAGTGGTTGGTTGGTGGGCTTTATACTCCAGTTATATTAGGCCGGAAAAGCAGCATCTGCTGAAAAAATCCGAGTGAGCCTAAATTTTGTCTACACCTCTATTTTACCTCAAGAAATAATGTCTTAAAAGTCCCCATCAAATATCGCGCTTACGTTTTCAGATATTCAAGGTCGAAAGTCATCATAGAATAAGGTTTATAATGTGTATAGAATGGACAGTCCCGTTATACGGATCGGACAACCATTTGTGGCGCCATCTGTTTTCTATGAAATGAGCTCATCCACTTGTAGCAGCTTGTAGAGCAGTTTGCTTCTTATTTTTTTTAGATTTGCTTTTTATTTATTTTATAATAAAGACACAATTTGATGAAAATTTAACAAATAACGGTTTATTACAAAGAGAGAAGAAAAATATGTTGGCTTTTCGAAATTTGTCAACAAAAGCCGATTTTCAGCTGCCCATTTTGAGCACGCAATCGAGCTTTTGCGCGCACAAATGCTTCAAGCGCTTGTTTGTGTTCCAGCCGTACTGCGCTCCGAGATCTGCTAACTTTTGCGTTTCAAACACAGAACACTGTGCTGCACCGTGCTTGAAGCACACAGCTGGAAAGCGGCTAATTTCAACACTTAACAACACAGAATTGAATAACAATAATAGTCTTTACACTAAACATAACACTGTGAAAGTCCACAAATACACACAGATAACGCTCCATCACTGCGAAACACTTTTTCAACGAACAGAAATATTAAAGCAACAATAAGAAGCACAACGTTTTCCAGTTCATCGTTGTGTCATCATTTGTAATTTCATGAATTTATGTCGGTTCATGTCATAATTTAATTAGTAATCACGTCACGCTTCTTCTGAAGCGGAGATACCTTAGAGATACAATCAACAACGCGTACGCAAATCAATTGATAGCGCCTCTACCGGGCATGAAACAAGTTTTTTATCGAACCAAGTGGTACATTTGAAGATCGCGGGCTATGAAAGTCATGAACGTCATTCAATAACGGTTGGTTGTCAAATGACATGTGCTTCATTGGTTATCTGTCAACTATAATCGACCGGTTAATCGCATTTGATCGATGTAAGTCAGCACAGAATTCTGTGTAAGTCAGTTCAAATCTATTTGGCAAGAAGTCTATGGTTTATTTTTTTCCAAGATAGATTTTGGCATTGTCAACTTTGAAACATATAAACAATGCCGCTAATGCCGCTTATTGGTCGCTATTGTAAAACTGATGTCAACCTGCAGAAACACCTCATTTTGTGACTAATCAGGGTGAAGCGTTATTGTTTATGTTTCAAAGTTTTCAATGTCAAAATCTATCTTGGGAAAAAATAAAGTGTAGACGTTTCCTTTTGTGATTTAATTAGCCATCGTGATGGATGAGTCTTGTTATATTTGCAGTCAATCGCTCTTGAAAGGTGTTACGGTGACTGTAAAATGCGGTATAGATGCTTTAAGAGAAGCAAGTGTGGAAAGAGAAGATGAACATGCAGGACGTTTAAGGGATACAGATTCGGTAACAGTACCTACATAAAAACTGTCGCAAGGAGTATACATAGTAGCATCTAAAAGTCGCCTCATTTTTCTCGACAGAAGTGTGGTGACTTGCTTACCCTCCACTTGAATCGCGTATTAGGCTAACCATACTTTGCGTGGGTCCCCTCACTATCGGGATCACTTTAGGCGGCCAGTGGACGAGCCCCCCTAGTATTATTGGTGCGAGCTGCTTACGAACACGAAGAAAGAAAAGAGAGAGCCAACGAATAAATCCTTCGGGCGCGAAATAAGTTTTTCGAAAAACCCAGTTCGTCGTAAGGAAAACCCGCATCAATCCTCGAATTGAAGGTTGGTGTCCTAGGGGAGTAGCATAGTGTCATCTAAAAGACGACGAGATGACGATGCTGCCGGTACATCTCTACAACTTGGGATCTTTTGATTTGAAAACTTTGTGTTTTTTTTTGTGGCGAAGAAGCCAACGAGGAAACAGAGACAAAAAAAGCTAAGAAATATCAATGTATAATTAGAAGTTTGGTAATGAGCAGAGAACCACACAACTTCCTCTAACAACACCAATCAAAAAGATCTGTAGGGTCGTGGTGGCTTAGTTGGTTAGAGCGTAGCACCGGCAATGCTGAGGAAGCGGGTTCGAATCCCGCCCAGGATCAAAATTTTCAATTCTCCAATTTTCCTTAATAATCCATCCTTAATAAGTTTGAGGGGGGCCTAACCCCCCTACCTGAAACTGTAATCATATGGAATTATTTAAATAAAGATTTTGAGTTGAGTTGAGTTGAATTTTCCTTAGCTTTCTATTCATCATCAATTTCCACGCTTTTCGGTTGTGGTAACCGACAAAACTTCATTCCTTTTCCATCATGATTTGTTTCCGCGATAATCAAAGTGATATTTTAGGTAAAGCTTGGTATGAAAATAAGAAATCTCAACCGGCAAAAGAACGCCTTCGAATTGTACAAACTGTGACCAAAATTATCAGAGAAGATATTCGTTTCATGACTGTTGATTGTCAATCTTATCCTCCTCCCAGTAGAATGTTTCATAATCTTAACGAAAACATCCCACAGAGCCTTTCATACTTTATTGAAGAATTAATTCTGAAAAACTGGAAAGGCATAACTGACCATCTTAAGTGTAAGTGTACCGCTATTTGTCATGCTATTATGGCTACGATACGTGCACGATCCTTCACATCTAACCTTTTCTAGATATTTTGTCAACTCTTGGATTTAGGGCGTCGTATAGTCTACCATTCACAACCAGATATTCTATCATTTGAAACTGGTGCTCTTATTCAGTATTCAGCAGACAATGCAGATATCAATTCTACACAATAGACGGCCACAACATGCTTCACATTATGGGGCTAAAATAGTAACATCAAGCAGCGCCGTTGCTTCTGAAGAATCCATGAAAAATTATACCACGATGTAACGGTCAACCCATCGGTCGGTAACAAAATAAACGGCCTCTCGGTGAAACGGGAGACGGATGATGACGTAATCTTTACGGTCAGTTGCTGATGCGCAAAACGGTCCCTGCTCGGGCGCCAAATTTGTAACGGGTTTTCCTAGGTTTTTCCTTGAGCTGTGGTAGTTTAACAGTCGGTATTTATCTTTTGGTTAATCCAGCGGTAATCTCGGGCGCCACCCTCAAGATTATGGTGGTTGAGGGCCCACTAGCATCAAGTAGTTTGTTACAGTGGAGAAAGAAAAACCAGGGGTCAATGCGCAGATAAAGGAATAAAACAACTATCGAAGAAATAAGCCCTAGGTTCAGCACCAGTCCCTGAAAGCTTCTAGCGATAAGTTCAGAATCGCGTGTCTCAGCGGGGTAGAAAGTATAACTGATCTATGTCCGTACGTTCAAACAGGACATAAGGATTACGGCTGTCCTGCTGGAATTGTCTGTACAGCCGAGACTTGTCCTGGATCAGTCTACCCACTACCCAACTCTTTTCGGTACGGGGCGCGGTATTTCGGAGCCAGAACTGAACGGTACAAATGTTAACACCAAATACATTATGGGCCGATGCTGTGTTTAATGTTAACATTTGTACATCGTGGAAGACGGGACAGATTACGAGAATGAAGATAGCACATTCTACATCTAAAAGTGACAACAAGAAAGATCATGGATTAGGCCTACAGTAAAAATACAATATAAAAAAAAACGCGCCTTGCATCTCAGCTCTGCGGTGGTGCGTGGAAACGGGTGCTAGCCTCTGTTTTTCTGGCGTATCAGGTGGAAACAGTTGGTATGACGTAAAATATGTGAATAACATTTTTTGAAGAGAATTTCCCAATATTTTTAGCCAAAATAGTCGTAGGACATACCGAAAGCAAAATATTTAAGAAAAACTCATTTCTGTGATATTTGACCTTGAATATCTTGGAACGCAAACACGATATCGGTAGGGACTTTTAATACATTAATTATTGAGGTAAAATAATGGTGTAGACAAAATTTAGGCGCACTCGGATTTTTTCAGTAGATTAATTCTTGTATGACTGTACTATAAGGCGGAGTCAGGCGTGCTGGTGACCCGATTTGCAATACAGCCTTAAGGCTTATTGTTATGTCTTCAGCATCGGGTATTTTTGTACCTTTTACCTTTACCATATAACTGGTAAAGGTAGAGTTTGAAGTGTTGTCATTTGTATAGTCAGTTTGTCATAATTGTTGAAAATATAAAGTTGACTTGAAAAGTAAAGCATTATTACATACCCTGCGTTTTTATTCTCATCAAATTTCATCGATGGATCCACCATTCTATGTCGATCATTGGTCATTTTCCATACACTAAACAAAGATAGATTACTCATCGATGAAGTCACCGATTAGAATAAAAACGAGGGAATACTTATTACTTATTATGCTACTACTGCTACCTCCCAGTCTTGCTTAAGCAAGTTTTGCCCCTTTGATGAGATCTAGCAGCTTGCTGGCAACTTTCTCATGCGCGTGTGTCTCGCCACGTTGTATTTCTCCAAATAAATTCTGTCTTCTGCGAGCCAGTGCTTCACAGTCGTAGATTATGTGTGAGGCGGGTTCCTTCTCTCCACTACACAATCTCCATGTCGTTGCGCCAAGCAGTCATTTTCTGCATTTGCGCTCTAAGATGGCAGGGTCCTGTTACTAATCCCCGTCTTATCTGAGTACGCGTTAGTGACAGTACTTCTGCTGTTATCATCTCTGAGAGGTTACCAATTATCAGTGGCGCATCCAGAGTGTAGGTCGGGGGAGGTAAACAAAAATCCAATACACGCTCACTTACCGCCGGAGGCAGCTTGCCGCAGGCTTCGCGAAAAATTTTTGAGAGTATCACGCCCAAATTATTTCCTCTAATTTAGTTTACATAGTTTACAAACATCGATGTTTTTCTATCAATATTTTCTTAATATCGATATCAGCTTACAAACATCGATGTTTTCAGTTGGATGGGCATCCCTAGTTGTTAGATGTAGGGTAGGTAACTCCCGAATGTATAGTCGTTCCTTGGAGGGCGGGAAAAACGCAATATCTCGAGAACGAACCCCCTTTGCGACCTAAATATGACGACCCGAGGGCTTTCAGCCCGAGTTGGTGATGTATTTAGCCCCCCCATCGATGGGGGGAATTGATTTTCAAAAAGGCCGAACCGTTGGTCCGATCGAGCTGAAATTTGGTACGTATATAATGGAACGGGAACTCTATTGAAAAAAAAAAAATACGAGAGGCCCTTATCTAAAAAGCAAAGCCCCCTGGAGAGCCCCTAAACATTTTTTTAGGGCCGATTCGGACGAAATTTAAAATGTAGGTGAAAGGGGCCTGAAAAAGTTGAAATTTCAAGTTTCAGCTCTCTACGACTTACCGGAAAGGTTTTAGCCCCTATCCCCCCAATTTTAAAAAAGGGCGTGTAATGGGGTATACGCGCCCTGCATTTAATTTTCCAAATTTTGATAAATTAAAAGTTCAATGGGATAGAGGAGCAAAAAATACGTCAAAAATGTCTCTAGGCGTTTTTGGCCCCGAAGGTTCCTAAGCCCGCAAAAAAATAAAAAAGATTTTTCTCTTGGAAAATTTTGCGGACCTGACACGGCGCCACTTTTTCGCTTATAACTTTGGTGATTTCGAACCGATTATCTCGAATCCGATTTCTTCTGAAAGAGCATTAAATTACCTACTTGTTTCGTATCGATATTCCAGGTTGTTTCTGTTTTCGAGATATAAGCCGTCAAAGTTGAAATTTCTCTGAAAATGTATTGAAAGATTTGAAGTCGATTTTCTCAAAAACGGTGCCCGTGGAGGGGTAACTCTAATAATTGTAGTTCTCAATGAGATCTACAAATTCAAGATTCAAGTTGCTAGGATGGCTAAAAGAATTTTTCAGGAACCTTCAAAGGTCGTGAGTTTAGAATGGACACTTGCTACTATGTGACAACGTTCAAGGCCTCCTTGAGGTCTGAGAAAACCTAAAGAAGCAACTATAAATGCGGTCCTAAGGGCCGGTTTCTCAATAGCAAGTCATCACCGGGTTAAGCATAACTCCATTGCAACCGGACACGTAGGGGCCGGTTTCTCAATAGCGAGTCTCCTCCGGGTTAATTTTAACTCCAGGGTGAGCTTGTCCAGTTGCTTGGAGTTATGCTTAACCCGGAGGTAACCTGCTATCGAGAAACCTGCTCTAAGACACGTTTACCCTAGAGTTGAAACCAACCCAGAGGTGAATCGCTATTGAAACCGACCCTAAGTGTCGCGGCGCCGAGTGACAGATATTGGACATCGATGAAGAAGACAAAAGTAAAAAAGCGCTGCTGCCATATCGCACAAAAACTTACTGCCGTTAGTAGTATTTTAATTGTCGCAATATATCTTCTATATTTTCAGTATAAAAACTAAAAATTTGGGTAGGTTAAAAATTTTCTAGTTTTCCCCCCCGTATATGCGCCCCTGCCAATTATCTACTTCGTATGTCTTGCCTCAGGTGTAGACAGCCAATAGTCGAGGTGTTGATGGGTTATTAAGCTTCTCAACTACCGTCTTTATAACTTGCTTCAATATACCAAATGCGGGTTCTGGTCTGGGTGCAGCTGCACCCGCTCTCACCAGTTCGTCTTTTCGTTGAGTTCTATCCCTGAATGCCGATAGAAATCCACAGGAGCTTTATCCTGTTATTCCCTCTCAACAGCGCTTCCAGACCGTGTAGACATTCCATCGTTATGAGTTCAGAGCTTTTAAAGCAGCCTGACTCTCTAAGAGAATGCCTATGTTCTGGTTGCTATAACCCAGCCTTGGAATTTCCTCTGTGCGCATACTTGGATTGCATGAATGTTGGCCTGGTAAACTGTGGCGTTAATCCCCAGAGGGATACTTTGTTCGGAGTCTTTCTCTATATACGCGAGCGCCAGCTCCATCCGCTCTTTTGGAGCCGTCTGTATATCAGAACAGGCCTCTTCTTTGAATGATTGAAGCGGAAGAGAATACATTGGTGATATGGCGGAAAAAGAACTTTTGGGAATTGTCTGGCAGTCAAATTTAAAGAAATATTTTATTGATGAGAAGACAAGAGCTCGACGTATCATTTTACTTGGCTCACCTCCCTACCATTGTGAGCTGAATCCAATAGAGTTTATATGGGTAGATACTACTAAAAGGTTATGTTTCTCGAAACAACAAAATTTTCAGGATCGGAGATGTACGACAACTCTTGATAGATTCGTTGACGAATATAACTGCGGAAAACTGGAAAATGCCATGAAACATGTCATAGCAGAGCAGAAAAAAATGTGAGATCTTAACGACGTAATCGACGAAGCCATGAAAATCCAGCTTTTATTTATTACCTTACAATATGACGACCCTTTTGATTTTTTTTTGAGGATGACTCTCTCGACTTCGAGTTAGTAGGATCATTAGGCTTTATTTGCATCTGCATCATACCAGAAGAACATAACACAACAGAGCACCTAGGTACTATTATTGGTATTATTTCTACTTCTAAGGGAGTTGAGAAGATTTCAATGATTCTGAAACATGTTTGCATACTCTACATATTCCCGCTTGAAGAACCATACTCCATCACTGGTATGAACCCCCAGTACCTACCTACAACTCGCAGTACTAGCCAAAAGTATATCACCAGTGTTTTTTATACACAAGAATCTATAGGCTTCTTCTTACATTCCTAAGCTCGCTTATGAGATCGAAAAAACAGCTCGAAAAGTGCCTCTAGATGGAGAAATGATGAGAAGATTTTTAGTACCTACCTACTCATTTTTATTCTAAATTATGTCTAATGTTGCTCTTATGCTAACAATGTTGTGTAACTAAAATCCAGAAAAAAACATAAATGTTCCAATTAGTGTTTAATATATTATTTTTTTTTTGTAGTTGAAGCCTGCAAAAAACGTTGGTCAAATTTGAGAACAGTCTACGTCCGGAGAAGATCTAATCCATCGAAGAACGGCGGAGGTATCAAGAAAGACTACTACTTGAACAAGTATATGCAATTTCTTAATCCATACACCAGAATTGCTTCAAGAAATCATTCGTCGCGAGTTTCCAGTGGGAAAGATCAACCATCCACGTCAGAGCAAGCAGGGCAGTCATTAGAAATTCAGCAAAGAGATGCATATGAAGATGATTCAGAGGATGGATTTGCCTACCTAACAGCTAAAGAAGATGATCAGAGTGCCGATAATGATCATAATCAACCAGTGATTAACCAAAATGTTCGCCAACAGCCCAACAAAAGAGCGATTCATGTATCCGAGTCGTTTTCAGAACACGCCCAGTCCAAGAAGCAAAAGCTAAGTGTCGATCCGGAAAATCCACGCCGGTGTTTCTTGCTAAGTTTAATGCCAGAAGTCGAGGAACTACCTGAAGCCCAATTTAAAGTCTTTAAACGGCGGGCCCTTGCACTCCTAGATGAACTTTATATTATTTCGCCTCCCACTACAACTTCAAGCACTGAATCATACGTTGAGTGTAATTATGGTGACCAAGATTTAACTGCCAGTGATATATTAGAACATAGCTATGGAAGTATTGTGAAAGTGGAACCTTATAGCACAGAGAGTCAACATGAAACAGAATGAACTTTATTCTAGTATGTGGTTTTAGGTCATGTTGGAAAAACATAGCAAAGCGTTGGTGGAGAGACAATTAAATTGTTTGTACCTATTTAGTTTTTCAGGCTTAAGGCTATTTTTCTCAAGTAAACCCTTTCACTATTATTCACATTTCTAATTTATGAACCCACAGTGAGCGGTTGCTGCAAGCTTACCAAACTTGAATTATATTAGATTGTTAATTCGTGTTATAAAAATGACAATTACTTTCATTATTGTTACTAAATTGAGTCATATGCTAATGGCGAGATAAATATAGCACCGAGTATTACACCAGAATAAAAAGCAAGACCTTGAATAATATTTTTAAGAAAAAGCTCATATTTTCTTGTATGATATGATAAGATTTTGTTTAATTTTTATTGAGAAAAGTAACGGATTTCATCCTTAACATATAATAACGTAATTGAGAACAAAGTGCCATTATGCTTTTGTAAACAATCACATCAATCATCAATACTTGTTGCTTTGGCCGTTAATTATAAAGCAAACACAATGCAATATTGTTTAAAAGTTCCGTATAATGACCGCATTCTCTGATATAAAATAATTTTTAAATCTAAACCGACATATTCTTTTCATGTTTCTAGAATCCCGATATAGACATTTTGTTGTCGATTCTTGTATTAACATTTTCTACACGTTGTTGAGCGACAGGAAGAATCATCCATCCATCGCTCATTATAATTACGAAATGGAATCGATCAAGTCGTACCTGGTTTAATACTGGCTCACGTACTGCCTATACATTTTAATCGGAAAATCAGTATTATGCTGCCGGGAGCAATCAAGATGATAGCGGATAAGAAAAACAGGTAGTCATTTCGTGTTAGAAATAATATTGGATGTAAGAAGGGTATTGTGAGATTTTTCATTATCTGTAGGTATTATGTACTATCTGATAGATTTAGGCCCGGTTTATTCACCTTCAGGTAATGCAATCTGACGGATAAGAACGTAATGTAGGTATATGGCCGGATAAATAGTTTGGTAGATTTTTCTTGTAGATATGTAGTTGAATAAACCGGGCCTTAACATTTATTTGCAAAGCCTTTATAAATGAAGAAAAACCTGTTTTCTGGACTATTTTTTTATAAATAATCCGTCCCTGTCTCACAACTAAACCAACAAAAGAAAATCGATGACCGATTCCTGCTTCTGACTTGACTGGTAGGAACCGCCTTGACATTTTATGGACTGGTACTGCAATGCAATTTGTCAGATACCGTCTCAATGGTTATGTCAACCTGTACAATTAAGTACCCTGTAGTACTTTCATGCTACCTAAGATAAGCTGGTTGATTAACAATTTATTAATTATTATTAGTAGAGCGAGTCAGCCAACATGGAATACTAGATTGATAAGACAAGTTTTTTTTCTAGATCAAATACGTATATTCAGTTCAGTCGCTATGGATGATCGGTAAAGTTCTTGAGCACGTCATTTTAGAAAGTACTATCCATTTTAATCGTTTGCCCTTTATTTTGCATTCTTGCGCGATCTTCAGTATAAGGTAAGTTCTGCGGCTGCCGCGAAAGAAGCACAAAGGTCAAATTCGTTTCAGAAATTTCTCTTTGGGAAAACAAATACCTACCTACCGATACCTTACATAATTAAGTAGGTAGGTATATTATTTTTATGCAAAATTCATCATAACACTTTCGAGAACATCTTATTATCGATAATATTTGTCAGGAGTGTTCATCATTTTGCTACAGGTAGCTTTCAAGGCCTAAAAGGCTTATCAACTTCCTTATTATATACCGTAAAATTGCTATTATCGATAATCGATGTGAAAAAAAAAACAGGATGCAATCTTTATTTTTGTAATTAGGTATTTCAAACTGGAAGCTACAGATTTGAAAACTCTTTTCAAGGAAGAAAAAAAAAAATTAACTATGTAAAATAAAAAGGGAATAAGGAAGTAATTTAGTTCATTATCTCAATTTTCTTAGCATAATACCAAACTTATTAGGGAGAATAACAAAATGGCATGTATCTGCAATACCTAAATAATCCATTGGAAAATACTCATTAATCTATTTTTAGTAATTAACTTCAATTAAAATAATAAGCTACTTATCTCAGCTATCTAGGTAGTACCTATTCATTATACGGCGTCATTACATAAAATCATCTTAAAACTAATTAGTTCTATAAATTTATTAAAAATGAGTCATGATACCTAACAGCAAGTCCACGTTATTAGATCATAGGGAACCGGTAATTATTGACTAATTTGTCGAACATAAATTAACCTTGAGTTAATTATAAATAAATAGCCGTTTTCTACGTCCTTTAACTTTAAGAGCGAAGCAAACACAAATCGGCAATTTTCATTATAAACTACCAGAATTAGTTTTGCATCATCTTCCGCCGCTGATTGCCTATTTGATATCTAGACGTTTTATATGCAGGCATGGAATAATAGTTTTTCAGAAAGGAGTTATTGGTGCTAATTTGTCTGAATTGTTATTTTATAGGGGCCTAATTAAGGTCGGTTGTCTATAAAGTAGGTAGCAAAACCTTGGATGTATGTGTTTTGAAATTTTGATTATGATAAAATGATGACTCCTTTGAATAAAAGGTATTCAGAAGTGTGTGAAATGTTTGAATTGCAAGTTAGATTAGTGATTTATAATGTTTCAGAAATATTGGTACCTAGCTTTCAAACATGCTAAAACAATGATAATGCCGTCAACTGATGCTAATTTTCCTGTATATTTATTTTATACTTTTACCATCTTTTCTTCTACTTCTACTCATGTTTTTGTAATACCTAATATTTTCACTAACTTTCTATCTCTTCCATTTTATATATTTTTTTAATATTAGGCACAGCTTCTGTTCCATGTTATTTTTGTTAATTATTCTTTTAAAATCTTTATTTATTTTATATGATATAGTATGTGCATTTCACCCTTGTCCATCCTTCATTTCATTCATGGGGATGATATTTTTGATATATTTGTTTTGGCATCAGCACCTTATCCTTAATAGGTAACTATTTCTTTATATTGAATTTAATTTTTTTGCTCATTTTATTAATACATTTCTTCTTTTTTTACTTTATTTTTTCTTCTATTCTTCTTTATATTCTTGTCATATATTTTTTCTCCATACATTTTTGATTATAACTTGGCCTGCACTCGTTTTTAATTGCTGTAACTTTTTTGTCTGATTTTTAACATTTCAAAAAATTATTATTTCTTCATTCTCTTTCCGTTACTCATTTAACCCACGTTTGAAGTAATTGATAGAAGAAGATGACAACTATTATGCAGCTTTTTCTTTCTTTATTAGTGCAGGAATTATACAACAATTTTGACACGATAATTGAAAGTTAACTTTGCCTCCCCTTCGACGTCAAATTACGAACTGGGCTCGGTAATTGCATCTGCGGGCAAAAAGATCAAATTTTGATGGACGTCACGTGATCATTTATCTTTTTTCAAGTGTCAAATCACGTGACATCTGTCGAATTTAGCTTGCAGATGGAATTACCGAACCTAGCAGCCATGGTGTGCGCTTCACACGGACAGATGAGAAAACTTCAAAAACCAATAAAAAGTAGGTTAAATAAACAAACATCATAGATGCTTAGACGTATCTATTGTACCAGACAAAGAGGTAATAGTACGAAAACTCTATTATATAGAAAAAGACGCAGAACGCTTATTGCGCAAGACGAGGCAAAACGTACCAAACCACATTAGACTTATGTATAGCAATCCGTTCTTATTATTTGCACGGGATAAAAAAGGAAGGAGGAAAACCGCGTGACGTGAAACGTATTTGTCAATCAAAAACACAAACAATTGAAAATCGATCACTTGTCAAGCTACTTCAAGTTGAATATCAACCATAATTTTATCCTTGTCAGACCACGGGCAATCAACAAGGACAAGGAGATGTACTAGTTAGCCAATAAAAAGGCATTGCCCCGTGTTGCGCGCGCATACAGGTAAAAATAGATAGGTCTATTGCCGCTATATTGAATCCTGGCATTTGTGGTTTGGATCAAGGTTTTTTAAAAGATGTAAATTGCCTGGTGGGCTTCTCAATCTGTCGGTACGTAACATCCCGACCACTTGTAGAAAGGTTTTGAGGATATAAGAGTCTGGGGAGCAGACCGACGGAGCTCCAGAAGATGCCGAACGATGTCATAGCAAACTCACAGCCATCGCTCCCCGCGCCGCCGACACCAAATAGACTACGGCCATCAAGATTGCGTGTAAATATACGATAATTTAAATAAAAATAATTATATTTAGTGCAGAAAACCAAACTCGGAAAAAACAATCATTATTAAAATACAAGTTCAAATATGTATTTATTAATGTTGTTCATTATCGCCTATATTACTGAGATAAATCTGTGAGTCGGGATTATTTCCGAGCTCATCATAGGAATAATCCTGAGTTATGAAAAAAAACTCGTATCTAAATTTTGAGCCTTCAAAGCTTCCGAGCTTTCTAGTTTCTTTACATCAATATTACGTCTTTTTGATGAAATTGCTGAATGCAAAATATTAGAAACAGTAGGTAACGGATTTTATAGAAAGGGTTCAATGCTTAAAAATTGAAATCAAATACCTAGGTACATATACTAAAATTAAATAGGTATGGTATATGCACAGGTATATGTATTTTTTTCTACTGACGTTTCATAATAGCAACTTTTCGATTGTCATTTCAGTTTTGAAACGACATTCTTTTAAGCACTCAGTGCGTAAAAGTGCTTTTAGGCACTCAGTGCGTAAAAGTGACTTTCAAGTGCGTAAAAGTAACTTTCAAGTGCGTAAAAGTGACTTTCAAGTGCGTAAAAGTAACTTTCATTGTTCAGAAATAAAAAACACACTAAACACAGATTTGAATTTTGTTTTGTATTTATTATGAATATTAGTCACCACCATGAAAGGTGTCGAGCAAAAGCAGGTGACAAACATTGAAATAAAATTGTGTTTTTTTATTATGAAACGCCAGTAGAAAAAATCTTGTATACAATACGTTACGAAACAAAGTCTTTTAGTCACTCGACGTGTTGTCCAACTCGGCTTTGCCTCGTTGGACAATTTTCACGTCGCGTGCCTAAAAGACGCTCATTTCGCAACTTATTGTATAAATAGCTATTATTATATTGCAAAATTGTTGCATACAACACTCATTTTAGCCATTTTTAAATAATATTTTGTCCAAAAATGATTGAAATATATACCTACCTTACCTACTCCCGGTTTTATAAAGCAGAGTTAAATATCTTAAGTTGCCCTAAGGGCTAAGTCTCAGGTTAAATAATGCAAAGATCTCTGTAAAAATTTATGGAGTATAGAAGAACTGCAGACACATAATAACCATACACAAATATTGTAAATATAATATAAATAATGAATAATAATAAAAAAAAGAGAGTCGAGACGAGATTTCATATGTAAAAATGGATATACCGAGCAGTAGAAGGAGTGTGAACTTCTCGGAAGAAATGCAAAATAATTATTTATCATTTTGTTTTTCACAATAT